CCATGTACTCTGTGAATTATTATGGATAAAAAGACTCCTGGAAAAGTTGAAGATTCCTATACCAGCACTTATAAAAGTTTACTGCGACAACAAGGCTGCACACTCTATAGCTCATAATCCAGTTCTATATGACAGAACAAAACATGTAGAAGTTGACAAACATTTCATCAAGGAGAAGATAGATGGTAGTGTGATATGTATGTCCTACATACCCACTGTTAGCCAAACAGCAGATATTCTAATAAAAGATCTTTCCAAAGTGCAACACAAGAATCTAGTTAGCAAGCTTGTCATGAGTGACATCTTCATGCAAGCTTAAGGAAGAGTGTTGAAAGATCTCGCAAATAATGATGATTATATTCCATATTTATTATAATTCTATATTTAGAGGATTATAAATTATATGATGGATTTTAAGAATCTCTATTTATTTTATCTCCTTAATTAGAGAGATTAGCTGTCTATTATATTTGTTATTATTTCTTTCCTTGCCTACTGTATTCTGTTTTTATTGTTTTCCTTACCAATAAGTCCTGTAATGAGTATTTATACCTCTCTTTATATCAATAAGAATAATTCCTCTTATATCTTTTTCAAATCATTTCCCAAATTTTTCATATTGCAGCTGCACAAGTATATATTTCAAATGCGAAGTTTATTATCTCAATGCTAGCTAATATTTGAATTTTTTTTGTATCATCTAATATCTTAATACTATCATATTTTAATTATGTATTATAAACATAATAAAAAAATTTATTATTTGTTTAATTTAAATATTTTAAATTTACTTTAAAATATAAAAAAAAATCCAAAAGGTTTCTTCTTGCGGCTGCTTCCATTGCATCGGCGCCTTAGCCACTTCTAAGGACTGGAAGTACACTGTTATTTTACCAATGGAAGCAACTTGCAAAAGTAAGCGAAACAAATTAGATCTCAAACATGAGAGTTTCATGAATATTGTGACGAATGCAATTTTGCAAAAAGTTAGTTTGACATCAGAACAACTTATTACTCCTTTACACCTTGCTTACGCGAACAGATATCCCTAAGTATTCCTAAGCAATGTCTAGCACTTATCCAATATAAATATAAGATATTTTGTGATGTCCTTCCCACAGATGTTGTGCATTTCCTCTAAGTAGTCTATGGATTTATGATATAAATGTGATCAATTATGACCAAGAAAAAAATTATATCATTAAATTCAATAGTACCTTGTTTTATTTACTAAGATTAATAAGGCTTTATATAAGTAACCATGCAATCCTATAACTAATATGAAGACTATTTCTACTCAAGCCCCATTGTTCAATCGCGTACTTATTATTCCACCAAAATATCTTGAGTTTCAACACGAGCACACACCTACACACTTTTAACCTAGTGTATTCAACTTTTTTTTTTCAATAAGCCTCTCAAAGAATAGCTTATGTGTTGAATACTTGCGATCTCACTATCATTGAGTCCCCTACTCTGCACACATGACATTTCTTCTCTTATTTCCAAAAATCATATGCTTAATGCTCCAAATGAATAAGCCAAGAAGCTTCCTCCTATAAGAGATAGTCAGCAAGCCATTTATTTTATAACAAGTTCATAAATACAAACTTAATCACTGTATAGAATGATTACCATGAAATACAAACTTTATTTATCAAGTAGATGTACTAATAAATAAATAATTTATAAAAGTCGTTTAGGTTCGTGTGTTATTTACGCATTGTCAATTGTCAAAAAAATATATTTATCAGCATTTGTGTTGAGAGTCACAAAATAAACAAAATAATTTTGAAGTGTAAATTCTACATGCTCGAATTGGATTACATGCTTGGCATGACATAGGCCATATTTTTTTAAGAAATAAACAAAATAATTGTAAAATATAAATTCCACATACCTAAATTGGTACCACCAAATCCAACTTAGTCTTGAACATGGATAAAATAGAATCTTAAAGAATTGATAGATTATGTGAACGGTCAATAATGCCATTTGAATTTTCAAATGCGTTGGATATCATTATGAGACTAATGTGCCAAGTGCTTAGTCAATTTATTAGTATTTTTGTGGAGGTGTAATTTGATGGCATTAAATTATAGCTCGAATAAAATTGAAAATATAACAACTTGCATACTAATCCAAAAGAGTTTCTTAATGCAATCAAATGTAATATTTTGTCTAAGGGGTTGAACTAAATCCCTCAAAAATAAAAATCAAAAATCCTGAATAGGTCAATCAACTTCTATCTTTGAAGTGAGAGTTTTCATGTGTTGGCAATATTTTATAAATAATTCATTAGGAACTTCAAAAACAACACCACCCTTATAAATTTTTTTTAAAAATAAGGTTTAATTGGACAGCATAAACTGACAAAACCTTTGAATTGATAAAGGCATTAACAACTGCAACAATTGTTTTGAAACTCCATGAATTTGGAAAGCTTTTGTGGTATCCTATGAGACATGGGGTAGGTTGTGTTCTTACCTAGCCAAGAAGAATACCCATTCACGTACTTCAAATAAAATGTAAATGAGATTAAATAGAGGTATTCAATTTATGATAGACTATTGTATGCCCTCATTAAAGTTTTAATGTTTTGATGACTATTTGATACTAGAAAAATTCATTTTCATTTATGATATTAAGCGTTAAACAATATAAAAAATACTCAAAAAAATTAAAATAGACATATCAAACAAGCTAAATAACTTCAACAGTACACATATTTCTTGAAGCATACAACTACCATTCAAAAAAACCATGATATGCATTATCCCATGTTTCCTAACTCTTAACCTCTATGCACATTAGTGTGCCAGATTTTTGCAAAATATGAGAAGAGTACGTGACACCTAACTTCCATTTAACTAATCACATTCATACGGGCATATCATTCGTTCCTTTAACTATTGATATAATTCAAGATGGATATTTTTGTAAGTAGGCTTTGCATTCTTTGAACCTCTATTTGTGATCAAATTGGTTGGGAAATGCATGGTGGTGGCATGATGGGTCAAATTGATCACGATAAAACCATCTATTTACTTGAGCATAAGTTTTATTAGACTTCAATAAAAAGGAATACTAATAGGATTGTTGACCAAATGGGAAAACTATCAAACTCGCTAGTTTGTACACCTCATCACCAGACTTACGACTACATAGGCTCATTTTTCTATGAGTTTTGAATTGGGATTATAAAAAGACAATTAGGAGTCATAGTATTATAATAGTGGTGGTAACATTTTCTAAAATAAGTTACCTAATACTATAACATTTCATAGATATATCAAATTTATTTCTTATTTTTATAAAAATTTATGGAAATTATTAAATAGCACACTTAAATTTTCATAACATTTTCACTCATAAAGTAATGTCAATATTGAAGGAGAAAACATAAGCCCTGAAAATTTATTGGTGTTTGATTGGAATTCGGAATAAATCTAGCTATCTGCTTAATTGGAATATATAACTTTCAATTATTGTATTAGCATATATTAGCCATTTATTTAAATTTAGTAGCAAGACACAATTTGAAATAATTTATGGTTGAGTCCTAAAAAGCCTATGGATCTTATCCTTTCACCGCTATATGCATATTATAATTTTACTATGTGACAACATATGCATAATTTACATGCTAAGGTTAGAACTCGGTTGAATGGCAACACTTATGTTATAAATGTTAAGTGAAGTACTTAACATTTTAGAGTATAATGAAAATGACTTTGTTATAATATGTATGAAATTCGACAATTTGAGCGAAAAAGATATAGAAAACTATATGAAAAGAACCATAGAAAATTCAAAATGAGTAATAAAATAATTATAATACTTCCATCCTAAATTATGCTCCTAATATGTTTATAAGTATTCTTCAACATTGAAAAAATGGTGCCTTATGAAAAAACATTCAAATGTCAAAAACTGCTTGTTTATTCTCCTTCAGTAAGAAGTTCTATAACATATCCCTTCATTTCAATTCTAACATCCCACTCAGATGTAGATGAAGTGATAAAAAGGAAAAATGCTAAGAACAAGTTTTTTTTTAAAAGTGAAAAGGCATATCTCCGATGATAATAGCCTTATGAAATCTAGCATATCTCCAATGGAAGGAATACAAAATCTAGCATGTAAATTATTGAAAGATTGCATCGACTTTAACACTTAAAGAAAGTTCTTTCAACCTCAAAAGAGTTGATGCAATACAAACATTCAAAAGAGCCAAATAATTCTAAAAACGCCCGAGCAATCATAAGCAAATTACAGTAAGTCATGTTGGACCATAAAAAAACTGAAATGGCCCCATTTTCAAGCCCTTTTAGGCTCACTTTTTTGGGTGAGTTTCCTATTTTTTATTAGATTTTTAACATCTTCTGGATAAGAATAAGCTTAAATTTTAATATTATATGATTAGATTTGTATTTGAATATTCAAAATTATTACCCTATTTCCATAAATTAGAATTCATGTACACTATAATTACTATTAATTCATTATTAAATGAATGATAATATTTAATTTCAATTGAGTGCTCTCTACATCCAAATTATGCCCATGCATTGTTCCAAGTTGTGCACAGGGAATTTTTTATTCCATTTCCAAGAGAACATTACTTATAGCGAACAAAATGAAAAAGATTAGCAAATATAGTAAGTAAAAAAAAAAAGCCTTAGTTTTTCCATCGTCACAAAACAAAAGCAGGAAAATTGGAAGTGCCACGCATCATTGGAAACCCTAATTTCACTTACATTACTAAATAAACAGATTAAAGGTTAACTTCAGTTAAAAAAAATACGAAAGCACCATGTCAAACTATTCAGTTGTCACAAAAACATTTGCCAGATTTGTAAGAAAGAGACTGGAAAGGAATAAAAAAATTAACCTTCTGTCG